AAAATTCTCTATACATTTAAAATTTTCTCAGTGACAATATTATCAAACAATATTATCCCAAGCTATCAGAAACCTGCCTCATCGTGTCTGTAAATAATAATACTGTGATTGAGGTTCACATAAAACATGAATGTACCATAAAATCAAACACAAAAGTTCAAATATTCCTTTGTAAAAATTAGATACATTTCGGTACTTTTTCATTTTAACCAGTTCTTTTTAAAAACATATACATATATATTTTATTAGACAATATACTCTAATATTCAAATGTTGCTAATAAATCTAAAACAGTAATAGCAATATTCTCCAGTCATTGATTTATTAACATTGGCATGAAAGTACGGAATTTTATCAGCTAATTTTATGCCATTTTGGCCCAGGGCAGCTGTGGCACTGGCTACTGGAAATTTAAAGATCCACTATGTAACTTTTTGGTTGGGGGCCTGTCACCTGCTTGTTTCTATGGATACGTCATTGCTCTGCCTGGAATGATCCACAGTGTGACATTAAACCGCTCTACTTAAAATGTATTCAATTACAGGTGGTTTTATAACTCAAAAATGTTTAAAAAAAACAGGCATTCTGACTGTGAGCAGGGTTGCCTCTCCACAGATCTGACCTGTAACTTGGTGTGGCTGGCCTCCGTGACGATAGAAAGGTTTAATGCCATACTGTGAAACATTCCAGACAAAGCAATAACATCTCCATGGAGAAAAAGCATTCGACAGACCCTCCACCTGTAAAGTTACACAGTGCACCTTTAAGTCTGCAAAGAGCCATAATGTTTTGTTGCCATGGTGATATGCCTGAGCTGTTAACTTGACTGACATTTTGAGTGTAATTGCGGTAGCTCACTCCTTGTGCCAATCAAAGAGCACTCTATATAAAAAGACACATGACCTTAATAAAAATAGCGTTTTCACATAAAATATAGTAGTTTATTTCCCTGTTGAGTGAATAATTAAAGTGTATTTCGTGCAGTACTTCTGTGACTCTTGAGCTCCAAAGAGAAACTGCAGATAGGTGTTATCTAATCACGCCTCGCGCTCTATCAGATCAGAGGCCATTTATACTGTGTTTTCAAATGCTCCACATGTTTGGACACCATCGGGGACATAATCTCTTAAAATCTTTTCATCTTTTGAAAGCAAAACACCTTATCATTAAAGAAGACGTGTTCTGCTTGTTTCAGGTACTTAACTGTACTCTGAGTAGATAATTTTAGATTTTTTCCATTGTAAATTGCAGTATTGAATCCAGTTTAGTGACAGAAATAGGACCAATGACGTCCTATAACAAGCAGCAGATTTTTATCCTTGTTTTCTTTGTTGTAAAATGTCTATGTGATGGTTTTTTGAACTTTGTGAGTATGAGACACATCGGAGACAGATTTTTTTTTTTTCTGTATTAATCACAAAGGAAGCGCAGTGTAGTGGGCGGGGATAGGGTGTGTGCGAAATCAGGCATTTTTTGAGCACTCAGCAAATACAAGACAATACTGGATTACTCACTCATGTTTAACACACAAATCCTGCAAATTTAGTCAAAGTTTTCCACCTTGTGATGTCATGTGGTGATACATGAAGTGCACCACTGTGTTTTTAAACTCCACACACCTTCACTGGAATCATTTGGATAGTTTCGAACCTGGAAATTGCCAATCTCTACTGAACTAAAGGTAAAAGGTAGCTTGAAAACTACCCCTTCGTGACATCACAAAGTGGAACAGAGCATTTTGAGTTTTGGAGATGCAGACAGACTAATAATAAAAGGTTTCTCAAACATGTGTAAATGAAACAAAACACAACTCCAGGTCTGTTTTTGATGAGTAACAACATCCTAGCATGGCGTAAAGCTCAGAAGAGTCAATTTTGTGTAATATTGGACCTTTAAATAAGACATGTTTTGGTTGTTTCTGCTTCTTTATTATACTATACGTAGATATTTTTAGATTTTTTCCATTGTAAATTGCAATTTTGAACAGAAATTGAACCACTGACTCCCTGTTCCAAAGTGCAGAACTGATAAATCCACCTCTTCGTAGTGGAATTTCACTGTAACAAGTACAGATTTTTATTCACTTTTTTTATTTTTGACATGTGATAATACAGGAAGTGCACCACTTGTTCCAATCCACACAGTTTCACTACAATAATTTGGATAATTTCGGACTAGGGATTGCAAGTCTCTACCAAGCAAAAGATAAAAGATATCTTCTCGACATCACAAGGTGGAACAGAGCACAGACTAATAATAAAAGGTTACGAATGAAACATGTGCGAATGAAACAAAAAAACAACTCCAGGTACGTTTTTGAGGAGGTAACAACGTGGTTTAAAGCTCACAAGAGTCAATTTTGTGTAACATAATACATTTAAGCATCCTCCATATGTATAACCATTCTATTAAAACTAAAATAATAACCATCTGAATCATCATCATCATTCCTGAAATGCACAGGAATAACTGGTTTTGCACATTGACTTGTTTAGTTTATCTCAAAAGAAGTTAAACAAAGGTGGAGGGTATTTCAAGAGCAGTCGATCGATTGCTTCTATTGAACTGTGAGCTTCATACAGCGCAGTAAGAGCGAGAAAACAGCAATGTCTGGGCACAGCAAGTTCTATTTACACAGGGCAGGATGCATGAATAAAACCATAAAACGAACCTGAGCTCCACAATGACAAAGGCAAGGCAGTGTGTTAAAGGTTGTGAGCTCCAATGACAGGATCTTAATAATACACTGTGGGCGTGATCTGTCTGAGGGTTATTTATTCTTTATTTTTTGTATTTTAAAGCAGATCGACGCTGCAAAATTGACTTTTCAGAGCTTTTAAACTGTGTTATAGATGTTTCCCTTTCTCATTTACCCTCTCGAAGTCGTATTTAGAGTGACTTGTCCGTGTTTGAGTCATTTTTAATCGCTTATTTTCAAGACGCGATTTTGTTGATCAAACCCTGTTTTCACTGCCGCTGCTCTGTTCTAACTTCATTCTTCAATCTTATTTTCTTAATCTGTGATACTTGTAGGGTTCAAAATTCTGGTACAAATATTAAAAAATCTGTTACTTTCTACTGTACTCCCATTGGACACTACAGTTTTCTAACAGAGTTGTTTTAGATGTATATTGTAAATGGTGACATTTTCATATAGCGCTTTTCCACCTTCAAGGCACTCAAAGCTCTTTACATTGCACATTCACACACCAATGTATGCAGACACTGGGGGCAAGGTGACTTAAATGTCTTGCCCAAGGACACAGCAGCAGCATTCATCTGTGGGAGCTGCAATGGTAAATGGTCGCATTTTTATATATTGCTTTTCCACCTTCAAGGCACTCAAAGCACTTTACATCAAGAAAACCACTCGCACATTCACACACAGATTCATACACTGCAGACACTGGGGGCAAGTTGGGTTAAATGCCTTGCCCAAGGACACAATGACAGCATTCATCTGTGGGAGCTGGAATCACAATAGCCAACATATAGATTAGTGCATCTGACAGCTCAACTGGTGATGTTTATGTCACAAGGGGGATTTGAAGCTACAACCTTCGAATCAGTGGACAAACGCTCTACCAACTGAACTACTGTTGCCCCTGTCCCCCCTGTTTTGCCGATCAACCCCATTTTCACCACCACTGGTACACGCGCCGCCCACTGCTCTGTACTAACTTTGTTCTGCAGTTTTATTTTATTATCTGTGATATGTGTAGGATTCATCAGCATCGCGTACTCATTTTGGTACAAATGATAAAGAATTCTGATTCTTTCTAGTGTACTCCCATTGGACTCCCACTGGACTCCCATTGGACTCCCATTGGACTCTTATTGGACTCCCATTGGACTCCCACTGGACTCCCATTGGACTCCCATTGGACTCCCATTGGACTCCTATTGGACTCCCATTGGACTCCTTTTGGACTCCCATTGGACTCCCATTAAACTCCCATTGAACTCCCATTGAAATCCTATTGGACTCCTATTGGACTCGGACTCCCATGGGACTCCCATGGGACTCTCATTGGACTCCCAAACTCCCGAACTTGTTTCTTAAATTGCTTGTAATGAATATTGAGATTTAAAATCTCTAAGTTATGACACAATGATCCACAGATGTCGTAGATTATACAGTAACTATAGCGGATACAAACTTTAACTCAAGCTTTGTGATTTAGTTTTGTTTTGAGGTCAAGATCCAAAGAGCACATTGTAAACAGGAGCAGTAATGTTAGCAGGGAAACTGAATTATGATTCGCTTAAACCAATATAAAAATCATCTGAATTTCATAACATGTTTGTTAAGGATGGTACAAGATCTCATGTCCCAAGATCTCGTGAGACTTTTGTCCACGTGTTTAGATTTAGATTGGACAAAAAAGGGTCACGTATTGGTTAGTTACATCTCTTACAGTTCCAAATTAGAATGGAAACAAAACTATAAATTTAATTAAATAATAAAATTGTGAGGCCAAAATCAGGAACTGAACCGTGAAATGTATATATTACGAATGACGTTAAAATCTCATCCAAACATGTAGTTTTGTCTCATCCCACCCCTAATCTCATAGAATCTAAATATAACATCATACAAATAAATACACAATCATTTCAAATTTCATATGGTTTCAGGATAGGCCCTTAAAATTTTGTTAAATGATAATATGTAACTTTCTGGAAGTGGAAAATCAACTGTATGGAATAGAAAGTTAAACAAACTATAGAACATTCTCACTGAAATAGATAAGGCCACTCACAGTAAATACACTTTTTTTTTCACATGTTTTTCATGCAATATACACATCCATAACGGAAAAAACATGCTTCTATTTCAGTCTATTTAAAAGTCTATAAAAAAGTTTCATACTATGGCTTTAAGGTCTGGTTTAGACTCGTCTATGCTCATTTCTCAAATTGGTTTTCCTACATAAGTTAAATATTGTTTTCTATATGAGTTATTCTGATTTGTTTCTGTTGTTTTCCTGTTTCTCCAGTTCAGAAATTGGACCACAGCCCGTCCAGACCAGGCTCGTCCTCCAGCAATGGTCTGCCCCCGAAGTCCCCCACACGGCTGCGTCGGTCAGTGTGACTTTTTTTTTTTTTTTGGCACTTTATAATTTATTCAATCTATTCAAATTAAAGGTCCTCTGCCCTAGGTTCCAGGTCAAAATAAGTCAACTGTGTACTATCTCCATCTAATTAGAAAGTGTCACTCTGGTTAGCATACTAGTTGTTGCATCACATGGATCTATAATAAAAACTGGATTCCCCCTCAGTCCCTGCTCGAGACAGACTAGCGGCCTCTCCAGGTAACGCATCTCCCGGGAGCTTGGGCCCAGAAAGAATTCTCACGAAGAAGCACACCGCATTTTTTGGGAATTTAAACTGTCTGTGTTTGGCTGACCTGGCATCCGTCTTTCACAAAGGTCGGATTTTGTAGGGATTCTTTTCTATTTTCACAACATAAACTTTTTACCATTTTTAAATCCTCAACGCGCCTAAAAGCTTTGTAAGTCTTAGCCTAGCCCCACACTGAGAAGGAAGTAATGCAGAAGAGAAAATTATTTGTGAGCCCATGCACCGATGAGTACAGGCCAAAACAAAACGACGCCAGCCTGGGTTCACCTTCCAGATTTGATGTTGCATAACTGCATTACTAGTTGCATTACCGTGACGGCAAAACTCTGCTCCAGTCTGTGAAAGTTGTGAAAAGTACTTAAAAACACATTGCTTTTTTCTTTTTTTGGTGAATAAATATGGGTCTCAGAATACATAAGGTAAGTGAGGAATAACTCTGGACCACTGCAAACCATTTAAAATGAACCCTTGCTCTTTTTCACAATATTAAGACAGTGCTTTTAAATACTTGATACTTTGCGGCTGAGGTCATCCACATTCCCTGGGGGTGTGATGCTAACTGTAGGCTCTGCTCTGTCTGAGGCTTTATTCAATTTAATCTGTGCTTTACTTTAACACATAAAGAACTGACTTAGTTAGAACTACAACAGGTGAGCTGATTCATACTGTTAAACAAGTCTCTCAAATAACATTACCAGCAGTTTTTAAATTAGTCACTCTTACATTTTTGGTTGAAAATCAAATTCCTAAACATGACTGTGGAAGATAATTTGTTCCAGTAGATTTTAAATTTTTAAATACTGTTTGAATTTCTCGCTTAGAATGTTGAATAATTTTTATTCTGAATTTGAGTTTTAATTATACTTTTTCAATATGTTTCAGAAAAAAATAAATAAATCACCTTTTAAATATTCAGCTCTAATGTTTTCAAACCGTTAAATTCAACTATCAAAATTCAGAGTGTAAAATTCATTTAAAATTCAGAATTTAATGGAACAAATTATCTTGCTGAAACTGTAAGTATACTTTTTCAGTATGTCAAATTCAAAATGAAAGATGCACCTTTTAAATATTCAACAGTGACATTTTCAAACCCTCAAATTTAACAGTCAAAATTCAAAATGTAAAATTCATTTCAAATTCAGAGTCTAATGGAACAAATGACCTTTTTTTATCACAGGCTCCAAAAATGTGTGTATTTTCACAGTGTTTGCTTATGTGTACACTGTGTCACCATGGTAACGCCATTAGAGATACATGTAGAACACCCCCAGCATGATGTCATTTCATGTACTGTACAAACAAGTATAAACAGCTATTTAGATATGAGCTAATGTTTTAATTATAATTCCTAATGTTTTGTCGTCATGGTGATATGCCTGATGGATGGAAAGAGCACAGGTGACGTCATTTATGTATTTTATTTAAACTAATTCTCATTATAGTGGTACTTTTTTCTTTTCAACAATATCGGCACGCTATCTAACTTATGTTTTCTAATTCAGTTAAATGCCCTTTAAGCAATGCAACTTCCAGGAACAGAAAAAAACAAGTTTGTTTTGGATGGGAACAATGAGGAAACAACTGCCTTATCATGGTGTATCAGAAAGAGAAAAGGGACTAAAGTTTGCAGGACTGACTGTTCCGGCTAACACAAGTTATCTACTCTTGGTTAAAATTTTGGTAAAAGGCATTTAAAAAGATTCTGTATACGTAAAATTGACTCTTGTGAGCTTCAAGTCATGTTAGAAAGTTGTTACCTTCTCAAAAACACACCTGAAGTTGTGTTTTGTTTCAATCACACATGCTTGAGTAATCCTTTATTATTAGTCTGTCTACATCTCCAGCTCCTTTTACCTTTATTAGAGATCAGCAATTATAGAACTGAAATAATCCAAATGATTCTAGTGAAGGTTGATGGAGTTTAAAGGGACAGTCTGGAATTTTGGACATAGGACCTCATTTCCTAGTGAGCCAGAGTGTTGGAGACATGTGGAGACACTTTTTGAAATATTCCTTCCAGTCCTTGTATTTGCAGAGGTCACTGGTGCTAGGCTAGTGCATGTCAATGGTCACAGTTCTCCTGCCACTAAAAACAGTCTTAGCCACTCCACAAAACACACAAAACAAATCTATTATTACACCAGACTGTCCATGTGAATGTCTGTTTTGATAAAATAATGTTTGAATTAAAACTAACCTTGCATCGCATGAATCGTCGCATGTTGAGGGACTATTTTCTCAGCAGCAGCGGAATTTTACTTTATCGGTAAGTTAGGTGTTAGGTGATATCAGTCCACCGCTGCCGAACTTTCTATCAGGAAGTACAACTCTCTGCTGCTGCTCAGACATAAATCCTTCAAATGCAAGGTTGGTTTTACTTCCAAAATTATTCTATTGACACAGACATTTACATGGACAGTCTGGTGTAATAATAGATTTGTTTTGGGTGTTTTGTGGAGTGGGTAAGACAGGGTAAGTGGCAGGATAACTATGACCATTGACATGCACTAGCCTAGCACCAGTGACCTCTGCAAATACAAGGACTGGATGGAATATTTTAAAAAGTGTCTCCACACGTCTCCAACACTCTGGCTCACTAGGAAATGAGATCCTATGTCCAAAATTCCAGACTGTCCCTTTAAAAACACAGTGGAGCACTTCTTGTATCACCGCATGACGTCAAAAGGTGGAAGCGTTTTAAGTCTGAGAGAAGAGCTCAGTCTAAATGTGCAGGGTTTGTGTGTTAAACATGTGTGAATGAAACAAAACACAACTCCAGGTCTGTTTTTGATGAGGAAACAACATTAGAACAGAGATCCGAAAATAATGTAATATGGGCTCTTTAACTTAAAAAAAAAAAAAAAAAAAAACTAGGTTAAATACTAGCCACACATACTAAAAGTGATCTCGTGAGATTTTTTTCCTAATGTTTTTACGTTTGGATTGAAAAAATAGATCACTGCCGAGCTACATTTGTTTGAGAATGTGTAGTCCCAAAAAGCAGAGCTGCAATGACAGCAGAAATATTGAAGTAAATCAAAAATGGCTCAGAATTGGAACTGGATTGCTGAAATTATATATATACTTTTTTTTTGAGAGAGAGGTCGTTCACATTTCCAATAAAATGTGACATTTTATTGATCTCCAGTGTGAACTTTAAATGCTCCAAAAGTGTCCCGTATGCATATTGGAGGACACGACGATGTCTCAACCAGTGAGCATGCTCAGTGTTTACGGAAGTCGCCTAAACACATTAGACACAGCATTGAGCACCTGGAGATTGTAACGTTCCTCTCTTACCAGAGCTAGCACATGTACAGCTTATTAGTTTAAGGAGGAGATTGAGAAGCAGAAGGATGAGTTTTTTGTACATGGTGTTTTGTGGGGCAGTGGCAGCAACCACCGTAGAAAGGAACGTGTGGATGCAGAGTCGCAGTTAAGAGTGCTGGGATTGATATGTGCTTCATTGCTTCACTGATACAGAGTTCAGACACAATTTTCGGATGACGAGGAGAAAGTTTATGTATATTTGTGAGCGCCTACTTGTACCACTCTTGCAGGAGGAAACACGCCTTTGGCTTGTTGTGTCGTGTAGGTGGGATGAATGCGACCTGGCCGTTCAGACTGTCAGAAGATGGGATATGTATCAGTTTTAGGAGCACATATCCAAGTAGCCTGGGTTGCATTTAAAAAAAAAAAATCTGTGTTGTTCAGACTGTCATTAAAAGATCTGATAAAGGTCGCATAGGGGCAAAAAACTCATAGCCAAAATCTTGCCTTTTCTCATTCTCGTAGATCCAATCTTGTGTCTCGTCTTGTGGAAATTGTATCTTGTCCCACCCCATCAAATACACAAAACAATGTATTCTTTCTTCTATAAGTTTAGTTTAGTCTTTATTTGAAGGGACAATGTACAGAGGCACTAAGCTCATAAAAAACAGAGATGTGCTGCACTAGATTATAGCAATACATTATTAAATTTACAAGACTCGTTTAATTGCAGGGCGGCATCATCTGAAATTCAAAGCTGGTAATTTAAATTCTAGTCATATTTTTTTTCATGGCTGCTGAAACAATTAAAATATATTCTTTTGCATCAAAGTGTAGTTTCTAATATATCACGTGCACTGCATAACATTGCTTTATTGCTTTGTCTAGAACGTTCTAAAGTATAGATTAAACCTGTCAATCATGAGGGAGATGAGCAGGTTACAACACTAAGTTACATAACAAATCAGATCTGTGGAGAGTCATCCCTATTTGCAGAAGGAATGATTGTATTTTTGCACAATAGAAACACTTGAAATTAGTAAATGCTGGATGTATATGTTTAATGTGATATCATGGAACATTCCAGGCAAAGCAATAACATCTCCATGGAAACAAGCAGGTAGCGGACCCTCCACCAGAAAAACTTTGACTTTACTGGTGAAATAATTTGGACACAGTAGCTCACACATCACAATATAATATAATAACAAAGACAAAACATATAAACTGTAGAAAATAGCAAGTAAAAATAAGAAAATATAGTAATAGTAATAAATAATAATACAAATATATCTCTGAGCTATAAAAAGAAGTCGTAAGGACGTAAGTTACACCGTGTACCTTTATAGAGATTTTTACAAACAGTTACAGTTGAATAACACAGAATTGAAAACAAACCTGCCCAAGAGCAATGTGACACCAATGAGGAAGATTTGTCTTTGTATAAA